CATAACCCTCGGGCCGAGGAGGTGTCCGCGTGGTGCCCTTGCCCGGAGGGGAAAGCAGTTAAGCCTCCCCTAATTCCCGCCTCGAAACTGCGTCGGGAGTTGTGCGCGGGAATGTGGCCGAGCTGAGGTCTCTTGGCGCGCTGTGCCGGAGGGTTCGCTCCTCCCGCAGTCCCAGCAGGCGCGTTCCTGCAGAAAACAGTTCGGGTGGGGAAAAAAGAACGCGAAAGTACGGGAGTAGACTCTCGTTTAAGGAGGCAACCGTCAGTAGGATGTCAGGAGTTTGCAAATATAAATACGTGCGTGACTGTGTTTGCCGGAGTGTTGCTATGCAGCCACTCTGAGATTCTATCCCCTCGTCATCCCTGGCGTGGATTAGTTTGTTTCTATTCAGATAGAGTCTCTGTCCATGTGCTTTACTGGCTTAACTACAGATGCTCTTCAAAGTGAGCTAAGATTCAGCTTTGAGTTTGGACTCTCCAAAGAGTGAATTATATTTGATGCTCTGAGATGGTGGGTGGTACCGAGTCTGCTGCGGTACTGACAGAGGTCTGCCAGCACTAGGGCTCCTGGCACTACTGAACTGTGGGATCTTCACAGTTTGTTAGGGCTGGCTGATGCCTTTATGGATCAGGACAAATCTACCTCTCCTGTTTCCCTGCTATCACCTTTTCAGAAAACTGATCTTATGGGAAGACTTGCTTCCTCCTTTCCCACCTTCCTGGAACAAAGGATTGTTCCCTCTGTGTCCTCTTCTCACAATGTCTGGTGCTTTCCTAGAAAGGAGGAAGACAACCATAATTTTGAGGAGAGTATGAGGTGCCTTAGCCCATTCCCTGTTTGGTACTGAAGGGTCTGCACAACCATCACTGCTGCAGCTGCAGAGATAGAAGCAGAAATACAGCAATGTTAGTCATGGTGTAGCCTATTCTGCACAGGCATATTGCAGTTCAATGTCACCCCCTTGCAAACTTCTTGCATGTAGTGTCAGACATAAGTAGTTCCTGTTAGCTTGGTTCTGCAGCATCTCAGTTGTGCTGAACTGATGTGTGTAGAGTTACACGATGAGCTGATTTTTTTTTTTAAGAAGGGATTTATTTTTTCAGCCAGATTAGTTGCCTGACCCAGTTCCAAAGCAGAGAGCTGTACCAGCACACCTGAGGGAATGAATGACTGGGAGTAGAGGCTCCTCAAGTTTCCTCTAGCTGAGAGGGATACTTCTGTGGCTGGAGCTGGAGCAGCAGCTGTTGTATACTTAGAACTGTGATACTGCTCAAAAAACACTGGATAGAACACATTAATTAAGTCTAGTTATCCAGGCAGGCATTACTGGTTTCACTGAAGTGTTACTATAAATTTGATTTCAGCTGGTGCAATTTTTCTGGAAGCACCAAATGTCAGAGCTGAAGTTTGGGCAAAACTTGCACTGAAATAGGCAGACTGTAAATAAATGTGATTCTTTTGATACAAGGCCCTGATGGAGACACTCTGAATACCTGGAATAAAGTGCCTTACTTTCTAGTGCAGTCATTGAGCTAGGTTGGTGAAATTCAGTTTTCTATCTTGTATTTTGAGGAACAGAACTGAATTATATGATGCTGTTTTGGATAACACTGCCTTACTGAGCACAAGTCTTGTAAAAACACTGAGTAACCAGTTTTTGTATTACCTAACAAATATGTTTCAGTTTCTGTTTGTCTTACTCTCCTCAGTAAAACAGAAAGACATCTTTCAAGAGAAAACATGCAACCTGACATGGTTAATTACTGTGGTGTCCTATTATTGCATAAGATGGAGGATTTGAAGCAGGGTCAGAACTGGCAAGGACTAGATGGCACAGCCATTATTGAGGTCATGCAAATGCTAAGAGCTCAGCTGGAACCAGCATTTTATTTTAGGCTGTTCAGGTGCTGTGTGTCCATTGTCCCCCTAATTAAGTGAGAGTGATCCGAAATTCTTGGTTACATCTCCCCCCTGGGGGAATGTCCTGGAAGGAAACTTCACAGTTCCATTGGTAGATGCCTTTTCTCATTTGAGTGAGCATAAATAAAAGCTGAACATACACATTTTTTCCACCTGGTGATCCCACATGTATGCATGGCATTATATACCAATAAGAAGTTCAGTCAGACTAGGTTGAATAGATAATCCTAGAATGGAGGCTAGTGATCCTATCTGGCATCTAAGCTTGTATGATAGATACCTGTATTGCTTCATTTCAGCTGTTAGTTATGCAATGAATTAATAATTTATCTGTCACCTCTTAATAAATGGCACAAACAAAATCTTGTTTCATGGTTCTTGGCTAAAAGCTTCACTGAAAGGTAACTTTATTCTTGCACTGGGGCATACTTTTCTCCCAACAGTCCAGTAGTGGCTAACAAGGTTCTCTTTTCTTCTGAAGAGCAGGATAGCTGAAGAAGATTGAAGAAGATTGTGCATGGATGTCAGTTTTCCTTTGTAGCTTAGGGCTGTGTAGTTTATTAAGTCTGCATTTAATAAACTTTGTATAAGTCTATTAAAAAATTCTGATATATTGCGTATTCTCAAAACACCAAAAGGTTCTGCAAACTTTCTGCCAGAAATTAGGTGCACTTTTAAAGAAAAACTGATTCCAGAACTGGAATCCAAAATACAAGGTGAAGTTAGAGGAAAAATAGTGATAAATAAATCTTGCTGAAAAGCCTCTGTAGACACCTACTGAAAGGCTTTGGAAATAAATGAAATGAGACAAGTGGTGTTAAGTTGGCCTAACCAATGTAACACATTCCCTGCTACTACTTGTAAAATGTATAAACTTGAACATGGAGACTCTCTGTAATTTTGGGACATATTCATGTTCCCTCACATAACACTTTCCAGGTAGCACAGAGGTTGGTAGGTTTGCAGAGCAGCTCACTTACTAATTACAACAGTTTTTAGTTAAAACAGCAGAATGGAGCCTTACTATTGATCTAAAATTAATTATTCTCCATATAATTTAAGCCTAAAAGTAACAACTATAAAAAAAGAAAACAGAACTTTAAAGGCCCTTTATTTTGCAGTGTTGTAGTAAGTATTTAAATTCTTTTAGTACATAAAAGATCTAATGAGATTTGGTTTTCTCTTGCCTTTGTTACCTTAAGCCTAAAAAGAAGTCAGTAATAATAACTATAATTAATCCCACAAATCTACTTGGAGAGTTTTTAAACAGATGCTCTTTTCAAACCTGTTAGCTATAGGTATTGGCAGTCAGAATTTCAGGGCTTATAAAGTGCTGCATTTATATTGTAGGAGTGTTGAAGATTTATGCCTCAAGGCATAAATTCCATGTGGAGTCAAGTTGAGTAAGGATGCTTCCCAGTCTGCCATTGGCTGTTTGCTGAATCCATATGATTATATGCAGTTAAAACACAAAGAGCCTAAATTTTTACAGGAGACAACATTTCTGATTCTAGAAAATTGTTTTAGGCTACGTATACTAAAGGAACCTCTATGTGTCCTGTGTTTTGTGTGTGGTTTCAGATTACCTGTTGCATTGATTTTAAGCCCTAAATCCAAACCACCAGGCACCTGACTGGTCAGAGAGTAAGAGCTTGAAAGTTCCCTTCTTACCAATCACATTTGTATGCAGATTTCTTAAGAACATTCTACTTTACTTGTGGTTCCCTGTAACAATAGTTAACTGCCCAGGTGAACTTCATGATGGGCAATAGCTCAGCTGGGAACAATGTGGTCATGAGCCACATCCTTTACCTGCTGTGTATTTAGGCCACAATGAGGTGTTTTCTT